GAAAGTCATCAACGATCTAAATTTGTTTTAAGGAACACAACTTCGTGTTTCTTTTCACGATTCATTCATTATTCGGCAAAATTTTCATTTATTGTCGTAAATTTTCTTATTTTGTCATTGGTTATTTGCAAAACTATTCTGATTGTACACACAAGTACTCCAAAGTTGATATTAAAAAGATGCTTGAGTTTCTGATTGACAATATCTTTGTAGTTTTGGAGATGAAGTCTTCCAACAATTTTTCGGAATTCCCATGGTTGTTATTTGCGCCCCGTTATTAGCAGACCTATTTTTGCATTCTTATGAAGCAGAATTTATTCAAAAACTTTTACATGAATACAAGAAGTTTCTTGCTGTGGCGTTCAATTCAAAATTAAGCTTTTACCAAAGGTAAAAATGTCCAAAAAATTATTTTTACAATAGCTCCAAAAGTATGTGAGATATAAAGTTAAAACTTTTATAGTTTATAAATATTACATTGATTAACAGATAGAAAGTATCACTTGAAAACAAATATTTAAAAAAATAAATTTTCTGAGAAAAAAAATTTCAAAAAATTTGCATATTTAAAATAAATGCACCTGCTTAATTCTGTACTTTTAGTGAAACCCATCATTGCAGAAATAATATATGTTTATCAATGAAGGGCAAGTTGGACGTGAATGGTCTCTGAAAGGCTGTTATTGAAAGCATGACATGTACAAAGACAAGACCCCTATAAAATCCGCCATTTGCAATGTACTTTCGGTTTCAGATCTTAACATTTGGACAAAATAAACAGGGAAAACAACTTTCCAGAGGCTATGGAAGTCCAACTTGCCATTCATTGATAAACATATATTGTTTCTGCAATGGTGGCTTTCACTTAAAATACGGAATTAATTAGGTGTATTTTTTAAAAATATATGCATTTTTTAAAGAATTTTTCTCGATAATTTTTTTTTAGGTATTTGAAATATAGAGATGTTCGTTTCCTCCTTTAAAAAAATTTAAGTTGGTTATCCGGTAATAAGAATTACAGTAGTTCAAACTTAACCTTTATTACATCGATGCATGAAAAATAAAAAAAATTATATGAATGTTTAATTAATATTTGATAGACCTTGATGAACTTGGAAATATCAAGGATAATGATGAAAACAGCTGTAATTTGCCTTAAATTTCATGGGAAAAAAAACGATTTGTATGTTTGAAAAAGTCCCCTTTTCAGGAAGAAAATTTAAGGGGATTACTAAAAAATAAATTCAACTTCTCGATTGAATGAAATGTTGACATAAAAATTGCTTAAATAAATTTCATGTGAGAAAAAAAAATACCATGTCAAGGTTAAATTTTACATAATTTCACATTATTGATTTACAGTGTATAGTGCACATCAAATAAGGACAAAGAGGCTTTGCTGTTTAAAGGTTAAATCCGTGAAAGATTATTTCAATTCCAATTTTTAAAAAAAGGTTTTCCATAGTTTTTTGTTGGTTTTTTGTTTTGTTTTGTTTTGTTTGTTTGTTTGTTTGTTGTTGTTTTTTTTTTTTTTTTTTGTTGTTGTTTTTGTTTTGTTTTGGGGGTTTTTGTTTTTGTTTTGTTTTGTTTGTTTGTTTTTTTTTTTTTTTTTTGTTTTGCTTTGTTTTGTTTTTTGGCAAACGAAAAATTAATTTTATGCAAGTTAGGGATAATGCTACATTGTACAACATTCCACAGTGCAATCAAGTCACGTTGAAATATGTGTTGAAGGATGTTGTCGAGGACTGAGACTCCCTGTATGAAGTCATTAGACGATTATTTCGTGCAATACTGGAATTTCAATGAAATACATGTCTCATAATTAGGTATTAAATAAGGTATTCAATGTCTCAGGGGCCAAGGAAAAATGACATTTTAGCTTATTTATTATAAATCCCCTTTAAGAAGGTGGAGTACAATTGGAGAATTCCTGATGGCCATCACATTGATTTGTTCGTCATTTGTCACACAAGTTGATCCTATCAGTAATTAAGTGTTTACGGTCAAATTAATAGGGCATGCAACAAATTTGTTCTTACTCATGTCAGTTTTGTATTATGGTCTTAATTCATGGCTGCACCCTCAAAGGTCAAAAGCATCATAGTCAACAGGTTAAAGATTTCACCAAAACCATACCAGGGAAACAACTAAACAGAATGATTTCAAACATTTAACAATGATTCCTCTTGACAGTTGTGGCAAAGACTTGCTAAAAGTCATATCTTAAAAATTTGGTTATCGTGGTCCTTAAGTTTTAAGTTTTTTAATGACTTGAACTTTTATTTTGAAAATCACAGATTAAAACAATACAATCTATGACAGAGATTCATGATCTACATGTATTTATAAGACTGGTTTCAAAGTTGAACTGAGAAATGGATATCGGTTGAAAAGAAGCAATACTGCTCAGACCCGTTTGAGCAGCTAATGTCTGACTCATCATCAGACATGAAGTAATGACTGATCCATGAACATACATTTAAGTAACAATTAACCAATGAACATACATTTAAGTAATGGCTGACCAATCATCAGACATGAAGCAATGAGTGACCCATGAACGTACATTTAAGTAATGGCTGACCCATCATCAGACATGATGCAATGAGTGACACATGAATATACATTTAAGTAACAACTGACCCATGAACATACATTTAAGTAATGACTGACCCATGAACATACATTGAAGTAAAGGCTGACCCATTATCAAACATTAAGCAATGACTGACCCATGAACATACATTTAAGTCATGGCTGATCCATCATCAGACATTTAAGTAAACATACATTTAAGTAATGGCTCACCCATCATCAGACATTTAAGTAATGAATGACCCACGAACATACATCCAAGTAATGGCTCACCCATCATCTGACATTTAAGTAATAACTGACCCATGAACATACATTTAAGAAATGACTGACCCATCATCAAACATTAAGCAATGACTGACCCATGAACATACATTTAAGTAATGACTGACCCATTATCAGACATTAAGCAATGACTGACCCATGAACAAACATTCAAGTAATAACTGGCCCATGAATATACCTTTAAGTAATGACTGACACATGAACATACAAATAATGACCGACCCATCATCAGACATAAAGACTCTAGACAAGTCAGAGAATGTATGAAATTTTTCCTGTCAATGAATAAAAATGAAGAGATAGTATAGCCCAATCTGGAGTGTAATGAAAAAAGGTGAAGACAACGAACAGTGATCGATCTCAAAATAAAACCTTCCGACGGTACACATTTGTTAACAGGGCTTAATTCACGGACCCCTAGTGGGATCAGGTGCTTAGGAGGAGTAAGCATCCTTGTCGACCAGTCAGACCCGTCGTTATCCCTATGAATTGATCACATAGACGGAATGTTCCGTGGTCAATTTTTATAAAATAACAAAGGCCTAACAAATGTCAGTCAAAATAAAGCTCAGTTCAGGTTATATTTGCTTAGAAGGTCATTATAACGACCATAGAATTTACAAAATTCTGGATTTAAACGAGGTTGCTGAAATCCCTGTAACATCAACTCATCCGTCAGTAGCCTGCCTTGGTTTTAAAATTGATTTTACTCAGAGCATGCCCTTGAGTATCGAAAAGATATTCAACACCATATGTATGCAGGTGAGAGCGGAAAATAACTACATAAATAAGGGAAGTTGACGATGGAAAACATGAAGTCATCTCGTTTGTCATACAGTTTAGTTGTTAGTGACCCTTATTGTCTATTGTAAGTAAGACATCCAAATATGGAATAGATGTACGAAACTCAGTGATGCCTTGTGAAATTTTAATTTCAATGGGAAACGTGCAAATCCTAACCTTCCATAGATTTTACATTGGTTAGACTATAAGACTGCTAGACTAAGTATTTTATGAAATAGTTTCATGTTTCCTTAAAAAATTATGTCGGCATTACTTTTTGATAGATTAAGAAATAAGGGATCTAAAATGATCCATTAGTCTCGACCGAGAAATTATCAAAGGAATCAGAATAACTGATGATATATATGGTATACATTCTGAGGCTGTAGTTCTACAAATCAAGGTTATCTAAATCAATATCATCAGAGACCTCACAGATTCACTTAGAAATGCTAATTTGTCGTATTGTATAAAGCATTGAAAATCAAATATGGATGAGAGAGACCACTAAGATATAGAGGCAAGCCAGGCTTTTCATACTCAGTATCGCTTCTGTAAATATCAGACTGGTTTTTGTATCCTAGCTCTTGTCCTCTTTGGACAGAGAAAAATCATAGTAAAAGTTATTTTTTCGTGAAATTACAAAAAAATCAACTTTTCTTAGAAACTATAAAAATTCATCTGTATACATTGTGTTAAATTACCTGAAAAAATATGAGATGAATTTTACCCTCCGTCTGAATGAGAAATGTCGGTTGACTACCAAATGTGTGAATGAAATTCATACAGTTGATCATGTGCTTATTTATTGAGCAAAGCGAGGAAATTACAGATCAAGAATTGATATTTCCTGCTTCTCGACAAAGGAAATAATGGACTTATTCCCTTATTAGCAATACGAAAGGATGCTTGGATAAAATACGATGTAACGGATACATTGCTGTCAAAGATTAGTAGAAATGAACGCTTGAAGGGGAATTAACATCGCAACAGAAAGGAAGTGCATGCATGACATGTAAAACAAGGATTGTCTATATTTGACAAATTCTTTACCAATTTTACATGATGAAAAATATCGGAGATAATTACTGAGTGGTGATAATTGTTAAAATATCTGTGATATTTTTTTTGTAAATCTAATTGATCGAGTGCATGTATATGTGTGCATGTCTGAACGCATCGGTGATTTGAATTTCAACAAAATATTCAGTAACAGAAACAATTTGAATAGTAGTATTCAAAATCTTAATATACATGTATAAATTACATGTAATATAACAACTATAAACTACAATTGTTTTTATTTCAGATTACCCTTAATGTAAAATGATGCCAGTGGGATAACTCAATCTCATCCTCGTCTGGGAAGTCATATAGCAACGTGATGTCGGTTTTACAATTTAAAATGGATGACATCGAAAAGATTTTTGATTCCATGGACAATGAAACACTGCATGATATATTCCCGGATGATTTTAAAAATTCGACAAAGCTAAACTTTTTTCAAGGCAGACCGGATCCAACAACTCAGACGGTTCTTATATCTGCGTTCGTTCCCTTGGCTGTGGTTACCTTAGTCTGCAATATTGTTGTTTGTTACGTAGTTGGAAAGAACAAGAAAATGCGAACTGTAACCAATGTTTTTATAGTGAATATGTCCGTTTCGGATTTAATTCTGATTTTTCTGAATGTTCCATTAAATATTGCGAGACATGTGTCGCAGGAATGGGCGTTAGGAGACTTCCTGTGCTATATGTTGAATTTCTCTCTGATGTTGTCAACTTATGTGTCTACTTTCACTTTGACCGCCATTGCCCTGGACAGACATCAGGTATTATTGTATCCTTTACAACCTCGAATCACGAAAAGAATCAGCTTCGTTATTATTTTTGCTATATGGTTTCTTTCAATTCTGCTAGCATTACCTTATGGATTTTTTACCAAAGTGGCAGAGACCAATTTCATTTTCGCAAAATTGAGACGATGCACAACCGTTTTCCCTCAACCTGCTGAAAAGTGGGAACAGGCTCTCACGATAAGCACTGCAGTCTTACAGTTCTTTTTACCAGTTGGAGTTATAGCTATAGCGTATATTAGGGTGATTCAGAAACTCTGGTTACGGACACATTTAGGTGTAGTAACAGAGACTCAGAGAAGAATGGAAATTCAGAAAAAAAGGAAAACAATTAAATTATTGGTCGCTGTAGTTATAGTGTTTACAGTGTGCTGGGCACCAATTAATTTTTACCACCTTCTGACTGATCTTCATCCAAATAGGATAGCATTCAAATACAGCAGTGCTGCCTTCTTCGTTTGTCATTGGATTGCCATAGCTAGTTCGTGTATAAATCCTATATTGTATTGTTGGATGAATCAGTCGTTTCGTGCAGAGATCAAAAGACATGTGACATGTTTGAGATGTACGATTAAAAAACGAAATTGCTCCCATGAAGTTGATGACCCATATACAAGAGAGACAAATTCTCGAATCAGACACGAACGAATTCGGAGATCATTGTCAAATCCACTTATTTCCTCCTCATCGTCTGATTCGCGACGATCAGAGAGGGAACTTCCCAAAAAATGCAAATTTACCTGCAGGTGCACGTATAAATTGAGGAACGTTTAACATGAAAGACAAATCCCTCCTTTACGTATTAGACGTGTTACTGTGTTAAAAATACAAATTCCCATGGTACATCTAATGTTACTCGGAAACTTCCAAGGAGTCAATAGACTACAGTTTTATTGTGTATTTTTGTAACAAACCTATTTTTAAAATATACTTGAATCTCAATTCCTGCCTTGGTCTCAGCTGGCCCTGAGGACCATGAGCTGAATAACTTGAATCTACACTTTACATACGTCATTTTATAAAAATGTTGTCATGTGAATTGAACTGTTTTCAAGATCTGTTTGGAATCTCTCAATGGAAGATGCTATGGCTATGTACACTTGTAATGTTTTATTTAAACGTGATCAAACGATCTTAAATAAAAATCAACAAAAGTGATCAAACATATATCTATATAAGGCGGCATACAGAGTGTTTTTTAAAAAGACGCGTATAAACCTCTGGGTAAAGGGAGATCAAATATGAAATGGAAATTTACATAGTTCATTATGCATTATACATTTAGATTCAACGATTTAGATAAAGAAATGATCCCCTAGAGAATAATCCAAATATCAGAAATGCATATTTAAACTTGTATTCATAAAATATTTCCATTTGCTCAAGTGCCTCGTTTAACAAATGCACCCTTTAATCCGTTCAATCAGTGTCAATTTAGAACGATTACGACACAAGTAACAAAACAGGTCAATCATTAGATATAAATGTGTCGTTGATTATATGATTGCTACTTATGGAAAGAATTAAACAGGTTGAAAATCAATGGAATAATCCAGAAACACTTTGAATTTGAGAAAACAAATCAAAATTGTATGCTGATGTCCTGTATACTATACATGTAAGAATCGTGAACAGAGCAAAATTACAGACCCCCTTGAAACACTAGAGGTAAGACCAAGTGCCTACAAGGAGTAAGCATTGCACTGTCGACTGGTCAAACTCACCCAGAGCCCTCTGTGTTGATAAAGTATATAAAGTAATCCTTAATCAAAATTAGTGTAAATCAATGGCCTCACACTTGGTATGAAACATGTCCGTTAAAATACGAAACAACAAAAGGTTGCAAATATGCTGTAGTCATTATATCGACAATAGATTTGCAAAATGTTGACTTCAAGGATATTGTTGAAACCCCTGGAATATCAACTTATTTATGATTAGCCTGCCTCGGTTTAGAGGTTGATAGTACTCAGAATATGTTTTGCGTACCAAATCAGATGGGGGACATAAAAACCACATACAAATGATATTGCTGGATAAAGTTGACGAAAGCTGACGAAGGAAAAAAATAAAGTCATTACGTTTGTCATATAATTTATTGTAAGATACCCTGCTAGCACAAAAATATTATCTTTAAAAAAATTTGAACCAAATTTCCGGGGAAAAAAATTTATTAAAATATCTTGAAAATTCATTTTGTGTATAAATCCAAGATCCGTTGTCTATTAAAACCATCTGGTTTTTTCCTGATATCAAAGCAAACACCTACATATTTTTTCTGCTTTATGTCTCAGTGCCGACTTAAGTTGTCTTAAATTTCAACAAAATAGGAGACCTAATATATTTATTTGTTAAAAAGTACTAGAGCTTCGATAGAAAAATAATGTTACAGGACTTTTCTTTTACAAGATCATTTATTACGCTCACACTAAACAATCTGTGGTTCATGAGGTACAGTATATAAATTCATCATAGTTACATACATATGTTAGAGACATATACAATCATGTGTACAAAATATACCAACAAACACACACACAATGAAGACAGAAATAAAAGAAAAAGAATATTGAGTACCTGGAAGACATACTAAATCATATATTTAAGAAATGAATATACAGATATTTTTCAAAGATTATTTAAAAACTTATGGTTGACATAATTTCACTATAGATAAGTATATTCGTATATTTTTACAAAATCTGGTGCGTAAAAGGTTCTTCCTTAAACTAATCAATGTTTTACATTCGAAAATGAAAAGGAATTCGTCTGCTATTTGACATGAGTTACATTATGTACAAAGTCTTTCATTCAATGGAATATTTGGAATATTTGACTAACTTTGACAAAAGAGACGATCATATGGAAACGAATTGAAATATTACTACATGTACATTCTATTGAAAAAAAAATGAAACGGTAACAAATATCATGTTTTAATTTCTTTAATCAGTTTAAAATGAATTTCAAAGCAGAAATAACAGGTTTATCAAATAGGGCATATATTTCTTACAAGTTCATTATTATTTTTTGTTTTTATTTCTTTAATTTTTTTAATTTTTTTTTACTTATTTAATTTTTTTATTATCATTTTTTTAGGGGGGGGGGGTCTACTTTTTGCCATTTTGGATGCCCCCATAAAACAAATTCACGATTTAAAAAAAACTATTTTAAAAAACAAAAATACAATGTACATTATGGTGGCATATTTCTGCCCCTTGTGTGCAAGTTATTTTTCTATCAAATATGTCGACATGCAAGATAAATATGTTGACATGCAAGATAGTTATGTCAACATGCAACGTAACTATGTTGACATGCAAGAAAATTGCAATCAAATAAATATTATAAAAAAATTTCACAAATCTCAAATATCGCCCACATGTGACATCCAACATGCTAGATGCTACTTATTTATGTCAACATGCATTTTATTTATGTTAACATGCGAGATAAATATGTTGATATTCAAGTTATTTATGTCAACATGCAAGTTGGTTATGTTGACATGCAAGATAAATATATTGATATGCAACTTATTTATGTCGACATGCAACTTATTTATGTTTACATGCATTTTTCAGATACAGTTCTGCTATGACCTTAACCTTAGACCTTGAAACATAGTTCAAGGTCACTACACACCCTTTAAAAGAGACCTCGGACAAACAGATGGACGGACGGACACACTAATTACTATAGGTCGCCCGCAGAGAGGGGCCCTAAAAACGTTTAATAATCTACGGTCACGTTTCTGAATCGCCAGGACATTTTATCCAAGGAAGTTCAATTCATAGTTTGTTGTCCACCTCATATTATAGAAAATAATTTAAACTGCAACATTTGCTTGAATAAATTTTCGATCATTAAAATCAACTTCAATTTTACCAAAAAAAAAAAAAAACAAAAAAACAAAAAAAAAAAAAAAAAAAACAGAACTGTGTCTCATTGCACATGTCTTGGGTAGTAACGAATCTGCACGCTCGCACAAATGTTCAAATTGTGTATCACATAATTTCTTTTGCATTTAAATTTAATCATTTAATTCAAAATCTTATCATTCTGAAAATCGATCATATTTAAAAAAGTATATATCCAAAATGAAATCACAAATCGATCATATTCACTGTAAACTTTTTCGCCATTCCTGGGTCTTCAGACATTTACATCGATTTGTGATTTCATTTTTGGATATTTACTTTTTTAAAATTATATATATATCCGCTACTCAACAAAACTAAGTTGCATGTCAACATAACTAAGTTGCATGTTGACATAAACAAATTGCATGTTGACATAAGTAAGTTGCATGTTGACATAAATAAGTTGCATGTTGACATAAATAAGTAGCATGTTAACATACCTAAGTTGGATGTTGACATAAATAACTTGCATGCCAACATATTTATTTCGCATGTAAGCATAAATAACTTGCATGTCAAAATAAATAAGTAGCATCTATCATATTGGAAGTCACATTTGGGCAATATTGTAGATTTTTTAAAGATTTTTTATAATTCTTATTTGATTGCAATTTTCTTGCAGGTCAACATAGTTATATTGCATGTTGACATAACTATCTTGCATGTCAACATATTTATCTTGCATGTCGACATATTTGACAGAAAAATAACTTGCGCACATGGGGCAGAAATATGCCACCATAGTACATGTATAAATTGTTCCTAACATTGTTTACTCCTACCATTACACTTGATCTCTTGACCACGGGCAAATGTGCTTTTTCCCCCTGGCCACATATATTGTAGAGATTATTAAGACAGATAATAGATTAAATGGTACTCCTATTATTGAAAAAATAATATTGATGGGACAAACGCACACATATTTGGGCCGTATTTTATGAAACTTTGTTGCAAGATGACAATCTCTTGATCAAATGCTATTTGTGCAGCAAACTGTGTAAAATTTTGCATTGGTCTTCATTTGTATCTACTATCGCAATCTCAAAGCAACACATAAATGTCAAGAAATATCAACTCAAACAGTCAGACATTTTAGGTGCATATAGTAGAGTTATCATATATCTACGTATTGTTTATTTTTATGTCATTTGGTATAAACATGGATTCTCTTTTGAGATTGAGAATATTGGTTACAGCCTAGGGACTCCGATATCGATCATGCAATATATATCAGTCAATTTATGTTACAAATTAAATGAAGGTGATAGAACGAAATTAGCCACTGACAAGTTTTTCGGTCAGTGTAAACACTTATTTCATATTTACAGTATATATTCTTCAAATAGCCGGATTTTGTCCCCTTTCTTTTTAAATCAACAAATTTCATTTTTTATATATACATGTGTATAAAAGTTCTACTTATTTTAAATGTGCATATTTTAAACTGGTCTAAATTTCTAAATAAACATTTTAAACTCAACTTTTTTCATCTTTAAAAAATTAGAATAGAACTTTATACAGAACTGATGTTTCTTTATTTTTTCTACAGAGTATGGTGAACATTTGATTCTGAAGTGCAACTTATGAAAACAAACTTGCAGTCGACTGTAAGTGCACCTTGGAGTCATTTTTTATTGTAATATTATGTCGAACAGATCTATCAAACGCTAAGTTTTAAGTAGACAACCTTTAAAAATCAAACTGAGACCCTGCAAACTGAGGAATAACATAAATAAAAGAGCTCAATGTATATTCTTTTTAAGTTGGCAATGAATGAGAATTAAAAATGGTGGCGTTGTTCGCTTTAACATTTTCGCTTGAAAAGTTGAGAGAAAAATTCTGCCTTGATTTATCCGAATAAATACTTCGACAATTTTCAGCTATTCCTTTTACTTTCTAGCTTATAAATGTATATCTCTCTTTGTTATTAAAATTATCGTTTGCATAGAAAGAATGGTTAGTAAGGGAAAAGAGTTGATAAGTGAACAGAAAGAAAGTGTAATAAATCCGAGCATTTGACGAGTACAAATAGTAGAAGTAGAGCTATTAAGAAATTTTATAAACGATGAATAAGAAAGG